CCAAGATATTTATTGCAGAACTTGTACTTTTTAAATTGAATGTTAGAGAAGCAAAAATACGCAAAGCCTTCCAAAAATCTCGCCTAAAAACCTCCAAATATTTGTAGCTTACATTGGGATCAATATTTTCATATATTTTACTCGAAATACAGTTGCTTTGGCGATTTGTAGTGATATTTCCAACAAATGTGTTTACAAACGGAAACCCGAAAATGTGCATATAATTATCACCATATTAGCGAAAATTTGACAATTATGACCTCTAGGGACAATTTTACCCAGAAATCGATTTCTGGGCTTATTTTACCCCCACGGGGTAGGCAACATTACGTTTTTGACACCTCTAACCTCACGCGACAACCACTTGTGCATGCGGCTGAGCAACGCCTCGCTATACACAATAACAAATAAAAAAATCTATATTTTTCGAGTTTTTCTGCCCATCCTGACTTAAATCCTATCAGAAAAGATAACTAATGCCTTTACAGTTTATATGTAACGGTTAAAAGACGACAGGATAAAAAATAACGAAGAAAATAACGAAATTCCAAAGGCGAGTTATATTTCCATTTTGTAATCCTGTGTAATTTGATATGATTTTTAGAGCTGCACTGCAGTGTCAGGTTAACAGCAATATTGATTAATTTCTTGATTAGAAATTTTCGAGCTATATTTTGGTGGTATTTTTGTGCTTTTTAAATTAAACGGATTAATTTCAACATTAAAAAACCAAGATGATTTCATGATATCTGGTGATGGAAGCATGACAGCATGGGTCATAGCGCTAAGTATTATGCGTACACAATATTTCACTGGTGTTATAAAAAATAGATTTTTTTCTCCCTTTCCTATTATGTAATTGCATTTACCAATATATATGTAACTGTCAGGGGTTGGGGTATTATGTGAATATGAAAGAAAACAACCTGCATTTTGTTCTGTATATTCTTGTGTTATAGAAGTCAAAAATACATGCTGTTACTATACTGTATAGGCCCTTGTGATTCATATACAATTATAGTTTCAATTGTGGTGATAGTTATGTTCTTGTAATCTCAATTGTAGATTCTATGGCATATAGAGTCGAATTGGTACGGCAAAATATCTTTGAGAATTGAAGTTTATGGCGGTTCTTCAGGTATGTTCTGGCAATTCACTGAAATACTATTTGTTCGCTAAGGAATGTTGTCCCATGGTAGCGGTACGCATGAACCTGGGATATCACAATGCTGATAGCCTCACAACCCTGGACAATAATATAATAATTTACTTGTTCCTTGTGTTTCAATTTTAGATCAAATAAAGTATGGCAACCCAGGAGTTGCTAACAATTATTACCTTTCTCTTATCACTGACTACACCTCCATCCATCGCTGTGCCATACATGGATTTGATGGACTGACATACCAAGCAAGGTAAATATTGCAGGCTACATGGTATATGTTCAGTTTATTATTATGTCATACTAGTCAGGGTTAGCTGGATTAATAAGCAAGGCTTCTACAGATTACCCTGTCACGTTATATGCATCACATCATTTCCATGCGGTCATATATAACTTTTAATGTGTGATTAAGATTAATTGTTTAACAAATTATTCATTTCATTAGAGACTCGCTGGTGGAAAATGTCCTATCACCAACTGTAACCGCGCTTTACATCCGCATTCATCCAAAGACATGGTACGCAACATATCTTTGAGAATTGAAGTTTATAGCTGTTTTTCAGCTTTATAGGTATGTTCTAGCAATTCACTGAAATACTATTTGTTCACTAAGGAATGAGAAATGACTGAGAGATCCATCTGACTGAAATATATAGCGAAAATTTTTCAATAAGTGGCTTATGTAAGAGCGAGTTTTTGATTTAGAAATAAATTCTTTACACCCTACCGGCGGGTTTGTCAGGTTTTTTACTAACTTAGGTGCATTGGAATACAAGTAAAAATAAGGCGTGTTTTAGAAGTTATACCTGGACGAGGAATCCAGCATATCATTATGAGAAACAAAGCTATTATAGCGGTATATACTCAGGGCTATCACAATCAAGTTTAGTGTTATCGCTTTATTTCAATGTTTGCTGCACGGTCGGATTCTCACAATTAAAAGAAAATCAAGCGAAAAGTTTCACACGTACAAAAGTATAGGTATGGAACTGGGGCCGGTTGTTCGAAAGATGGATAACTTATCCAACGGATAAGTCCTATCCAACGGATAAATCTTGATAGTTATCCATTGGATAAAAACGCGTTGCAGGAAGCGTGGATAGTGAAGTGGATAGCTATCCAATAGATAAGTTAAAATTTACCAGAAGAAAACAGGATTTTTCTGAAATTTCGTACCACAACGTCAGCTGTTGCTAAGCATTTACAACATTGAATTCATAATCATTACGAATTCTCGAGTATAGTTACTGAATGGAAAAGACTTGAACAAGTGATTTGCTCGAACTTTGCACTTCACATCATAGTGATTTTATTAATTAAACACATTGCAATTTTATTCCTTGACCTTGCAACGCTTTGCCTTTCGGCCCCATAGCAAATTTAGAAACACTATTTTAATGTTCGTGAATGAAATTACTTAGATATTAGCAAGTTTCCTTGGAATAGGTTGAATCTTTCTTTGCATATTCGCGTTTATAAACTGATTAGAAGCGTATAGTAAATTTACCACCTGTTATAAATGCGAGGATGTCCAAAAAATCGCCGGTCGAACGGAATGTGTAGGCAACGTGAAACGCTGCTGCGACAAATTGCACTTCGAAAACATTTTTAATATATAGTGAATACAATCATGATGTGTATTAGTTTGTTGAAACACAGTAAGAGGAATATTGCATTTTTGTCCTATTTTATATAAATGTTTACAGTGTTACCTTGTATCTTTGAATTTATCCACTGGATAGTGGATTTAAACCACCTCCGGACCTTGGATAAATTTATCCGGTAGATAGCGATTTTTATCCTCTGGTTAAAGTTAGACAAGCTTCGTGCAACCCAAATCACACGCTGGATAAAACTTATCCGTTGGATAGTGAGTTATCCGTTGGATAGCGACTTATCCACCTTTCGAACAACCGGCCCCTGTTCTTTTATTTATCGGAATAACTAGTGATCTTACATGAAGCATTTTCAGTCATGCTGCTAAACTGTCGTGCTGGCTCCACTGAGTATTTTATTTGCTCGCAGAGCCTCGTCTGCGAACGTGACCGTCGGCCAGTCTTCACCATGTACGGTGACAGTTATTTTCTGCCTTTTAACTTGCCGACATGCAATGTTTCAATGCACGGTGAGTTTTCAACTTTACTGAAGGCGCTACTATACAATATGCAATTTTCCTTACAACTTGCAATGCAATTATAACTCCGAAGGATGTTAATTTGTAAAGAGTGTTCGAAATACTAAGGAAACGTTAGCCGATCGTAATAGATGTTCGTATTTGACAACTTTAGATGCCTCAGGAGTAGAATGGTTTTGCAATTTGCAAGGAAAGTTGCGTAGTGTAACAGCGTCTTGAGATTGTTTCGAAAGCTGGTTAAATTTCGATGTAACTTGCAAACATGTAATGTTTCATTGCAATTGCGAGTTGAAAATAAGGGTCATTGGACGGAAGAACGGGACAAGTATCGTAGTTTTCAACATACCTTTTATAAGGGCGGAGACATTGATCTTCCATCCACGGTCAGTTTTATCATTTTTTCTGCTTTTTCTATCATTTCTTTATCCTACAAAAGACAAAAACCTTGTTAAATCGTGAATCAATCTAACACTTTTAAAAGCTTTCTCTCCTAACTGAACTAATTTTATTTATACCGTATAGTTCTATCAGTTCTAAATTGTCCTTCATGGAGGTCCAGTAGGGGTCATCCCGTATTGATCCAGTGTTACTACAGGAGGAAACCTGAACTAAACTGACTTTATTTATGCTGGATAGGTGTATCCGTTCTAAACTTCAACCAAACTAATTCTAACAATTCGAAAAAGCTGGGACTTCAGACGAAAAAGGTCAGCCGATTTTGAAAAATCTTAGATGCGGGGTGTTATAAGGCGGTTAGTAATTTCATCATCACCTTCATCCAAGGATGTTCCAGAGCTTCTGAAACCGTGATGCATTTTCTGTGACCAACAGTAAGCAGTTTTGTTATAAGATCCTTAGCTTCACTGCTAACATTCTTCCAGAGGTTGTTCGGAAATTTATACGACCCTTCTTTGACTTGTTTCTCCAATGGGTTATTTGCCTGCTTTGAAAATAAAGAAGATCCGGAAAGTCTAAAAGACGTTAACTTTTCATTGACGTACTCCAATTTTGAAATGAGGTTAACCTACCTCCAGCTTCATTGCAAATCGTGTTCACTACGTGAATTTGAGTAAACTGAAGTATATGGCATACCAAACATATAACACACGATTTCTTGTAGGATCGTTCTTCAGGCTACGGGATTAACATTTTGGTAGCGAGGTAACTTGGTGTACCACAGAGTGTTTCCATATAGGAATTCTGATCTAAAAAATTAATTGTTATCATTGAGAAACTGTAACAATGAGAAATAACTGAACCTAAAACGTTTGCAGAATGCGCTCGGCTTTCGTAAAACGAAATCACGGACAAAACTCGGAATTGAGATTATAGTGACTTCCAGGATTTGCTGGCAATGGTCACATCGAATGGTTTCTTCAAAGACAATTTAAAGGGCAATTTAAACACAAGTTCAATACACAACCGACACAAACCTTTATAAGCGTTTCGTCATACGAGGAACACAATAAAACATTTTCTGGCTAGAGAAGAAAAAGTTAAATTATGGTCGTTAAAGTTTAGGATATAAAGGCAGTAGTGATAAATAAATTAGGGCGTGCTTACCTTCCAATCCCTGTTAGTGATGCCATTTTCATGTAAATGCTAAAAATACGAAACAGTATGAATAAAGTTAGTTTAGTTCACGCTCCTGCAGTAACACTGGATCAATAACAGATGATCCTTAGCTTGGTGTCATTAAAAGCTCCAATCTCTTCGTGATATTTTCCATAAACTTTAGTCATCGCCTGTGAATGAAATATTCCAATTTGTTTAATTCATTCTTCGAAGGCTACACATGGCTACATTCGCGCTAAACGACATCCTCACCTGAAGGCACATTGCTTTCATAGTTGGTTTAGTTGTCAATAGGAATCAGTGATACAGATCGTTAGACAACTCGAGCCTGAAAACAAAATAGAAAAGTCGATCGAATCTTGAATGGTTTCATCCATGATTCTATACTTCTCTACTACATTCTGCAGGACAAATAACATTGCGTGAACTGTGCAGCAATATAGAGAATAGGGGGAAGCCAGACAGAAAAGCACATGGAAAGTAGTTTGAATATTTGCAAACCCTGATAGATAAATGTCGTGGACTCACACATTTGTTATCGGCGTCTCCTCGTCGTTTTGTTCCAACAAGACTCTCAAATAATAGTCACCTGATAGCAGAGATACGTTAATGAGTTTGATTCCTATCGAGGAATAAGGGGGGGACGCTTTATGAAGAACTGTTAAAAAGCTAGAGCAGTTAGGCTTATCACTAACCTATTTCAGTTCATCAGCTAAACATTCATACAGGACTTCAAACTAAAGGTGATTCCAAAAGACAACGTAGTTTCCACTCAGATCTTTTTCCATTGCAAATGCGTGCAAATCAGATTCGAGTGCCCCAGAAGTTCCTCTCGCGTCTGTCACATTGAAAACATAAGAAATTGTTTCATACTCTTTTACGAGAACAGTTTAGAGAAAGAGGTCAGGACTATTGAATTTGTCTTGTTATACTCATAGCGACAGGAAATCCTCCATTACATTTCCATATCCTATATTTTCAACGGAAACTAACCTTAACTTCGAGACTCACCTTGTAATTCCAAATCAGGTTGTACGCTGTCAGATCTTGACTGAATCTGTAAAAAAGATCCGCTTAAATATCATTGCTTTTTCATCTTTCAAACGACTAGAACATTTTCCCATTTTCTTAATATGAACACTTACTTGTAATAAAAAAACTGGATTTAAATTCTCACATCTTTCCTGGATTTGAATCCTATTTTTGTCCTCCAATGCGAGAGATATCCTTCAAGTTGATTCTTCAACGTTCCCCTCGTTTTTCCAGAGCTCTAAGACACAAGTATAGCACGTGAAATAACAGGCTTATACGTACATGCAAGCATGCATTATGAAATTTTGGAACACGATTGTTGATTTAAAACGTACTTCTGCAAGCTTTACATTGTCACGAATTGATAAACGATCTTCTTCAGTCTCTGGTGGCTGAAGGAAAGATAAAAACTTTCCAACAAAATTGTTTCTTTACAAAAAGGTTTTACACTTCTGAATGAATTACCATTTAATTATTTCGTCAGGGGGCAGTTGGCACAGTTTAAGGATGAATGATGGAGTTTAGTTACCAAAGCAGTTGATATCCCTTAGTCATGAATACGATTGGTTAGTCAGAATCACCTGAATGGGTTTATGTAAATAATGGCCCTCGCAAAAAAGTTTTCAAAGATTTCTTACTTCGTCAGGGCTTTCAAGGTAATAGAGCAAACCAGCAGGCTGTGAAAATCGTATTCAAATTTATTACATAATTGTTTATGAACCAAAAATTATGAACAGGAAATCTCGCATTTAAACTTTCTTGTATATTTTAGACATTAAAAACTATAACTACTTTAATACGAACATTATTCTCGCAAGTAATGCCATTGCTGTTGGATGATGCTATGCCAACAATAATGATTATAAATTACTTATGGAGTATGCTTGTTAGTCTCAATTGAACTATTTACAGATGGCTAGTATATAGAGGATTATAAAATCACAAGTTTTAAGATGAATCTGAGAATGTTGCTAAAATACAACTCAGGTCCTGCGAATGGAATAGAGGCTATACCTCTGCAACAATTTGTTAATTTATCACACTAATTCGCACCTGTTCAATAGCGAACGTCTATAAGTGCTTTGCATAAACATGGCCATGCGTAAGCGTTTTGGTAGAGCGCCCTCGGCAAGCGCCAGAACTTGTATTTTTGCCGCGGTTTCTTCATCAGCTTCCTAAAGTGAAGTTCTAACTAAATATCAACAGATGATTTTAGGAACTTCACACGATGCAGGAATATTCTTGAGGTTTTAAAGGGTCTTAATTTCGAGTGGTATTATACGCACTTCAAATTCAAGCAGGGAACAGTTGATGGAAAAATGAGTCAACTGTACGTCCTCAGTGACAAGAGCATTGCACCGGCATCGCAAAAGCGTAGGTTCGATTCCTGCCGGAGGATCTATAGTTCACTCATTTTTCCGTCATCTGTTCCTGGCTTGATTTGAAGTGTGTATAATACTTCTCAAAATTAAGACTTTTTAAAACCTCTTAAATATCAACGGAACTAATATGTACATTCATCACGGCTAAAAAAATGCAGAGCGTTATAAATGACGTTCGTCAAAGGCAGAAAATTCTCAATGGATGAATAAATGAGTAAAACGTACCTCAATTATCGCCTTCAGAACCATGCCAGCACCTTTCACAATTGTTGTCGACGGATGCTGAAATTGTTGAGGAACGAATTCAAAACCACGATTGGTAAGAACCATTAGCGGGGCAATAGTAAAACATACATAAGTGAAGAAATGGTAAAATTGGTGCTATTATTTAGTTTTGTCGTAAACCTACCTGGAACAATCGATAAATGCAATGACCCATTTCTAGACAAACAAAAACAGACTTCATGAGTTGCTCCTATGCTTGGGTCAAGCTAGTGGACGTGGTAAACTTCACCAAAAAGGTAAAGAGAGAAAGGCTATTTAATCAACTCTCAACCTCAGTCAAAGAGCCATAAACTACCAAGAAGACAAGTTGAATGAAAAAGCTCCTCAAATTTCTTTGTAGCATCCTGCAACTTTCTCCAGTAATTTCCCAAACTGTTCATCATCTGTTGTCTCACTAAGAGGAATATGCAATAGTCGATTTATTGTAACAGACTACATGAGTTGATTCAAAATTTGGAAGCAATCACACCTTACTATTAGTTTAACATGAATGTCCAACTTCACCCCCGTATTATTTTAATATATTTCAAAGCAACTAGAACAAACCTGTAAGGAGGACACAGAGCAAACGTCAGAAAATCAAGCAATCCACTTATAACTAAAACCCCAGTAGAACGAATATAGAAGAAAAGTTTTCATGGTTAATCTATTTCTTGTGTTTAGTTAGAAAGGTAGTTCAAATTAGAAAGGCAGTTGCTACGAATCACTTGCTGGGTTTTGCAAGGGAATTTCTCTTCCAAAACAAAGCTATATACATACAAGAGGGATGGAAAAATAAAATGCAAGGGTTCAGCATAGATTATAGGCAACCAACACCGCACATCTTACCACATTTATCGTGAGAATTTCCAACAAACTGCTTAGAAATTTTTCAGAGGATAACAAAGAGCTTTTGTTTATCTGTTCTTGTCGAATGTCATAGTTATCGTGCGTTGGCTGTATAAAAAAACAGAATTGGTTTCGATAAAATTGGATCCTGTTAACATTCAGATTTCAAAGTTGGCTGAGTTTATGTGGATTGCAAGTTAAAGGGGTAACACTAATGACAGTGACAGATTTGGCAACATATTACCAGGAAATTCATCGTTAAAGTGTTGGCGCTTTCCTTTATACGGAAAAAACGGCAGACCGGTCCTATTGTTGATCTCGGTACAGACAGATTACTGGTATTTTAGAGTGTTTCAAGAACTCTGCGTTCAAGTATATCGTTACTTGCATCTGTCTAGCTCGGAAATTTCGCAACTATATTCTTAACGAAATACCTATTTTAAATTTAAATATGACCGGTCTGACCATTTTGGCCGCTTAAAGGAAAGCCCTCTCTTTACCTGCATCAGAGCACACAGCATGTCGACAGCGGCGTGAGTCACGGCTTCATTATTCCTCTTCAAAGCTTTCACAGTTTTCACACCAACCTTCTCATAGAAGCTGTAAAAACAAAACAGAAACACGGTCTAGAGAAAGTGAGCTGGTTGAGTAAACAGCGTGTGTTGTGGTTAAAGATAAACGTTTCTCACCTAGTGAGCGTTGTGAAACCTGCTTTGGATCCAACCTAATGTCTCAAAGCGTGAAACAGTGCTTCGAGATCTTTATCTGATATTTTGTTTTGGTCTCCTGCAAATAGACGAAACATTTTAACTATTTTATGTATATATTGAACACCTGTGAAGGTAATAGCAGTCAGAATATGTATATTTTAGGGGTGAACACTAAATATATTTATTGGCAAAGATATACAATACCTTCGTGAGCAATGAGCATTGTGATGGCATTAATGATAAGTCTTTCTTTATTCTCCGGGAAAAGTCCTTACAAAATATTTAAAATCGTTTGAAATATATATTGGAGTTTAAAAGACTTAATATTCCAGCCGTACTTCTGGCGAGAAAATTTCAAATCTACCATTTCATGGATTCGGACCCAGTCAACTCAGCAACCAGAGTTACCGCAGCGTAGTCCCTAAGCCTCTTAACGTTCCTTATACGCGGCGAGGCGGGAACTGAGAGGCCTAGAACAAAGTGTTTTGTATTTTGGCTATTTTGTCCCCACTTTCTGTATTGAGGTCAGTTTACGATCCACGACGCGGTTAACTGGCCTTGTTCGACGTCGCTAGTCAAATATTTGCTTGAAATAACCTACGGGATATTAATTATACTGTCAGGACTTCGAAATATCCATACAAACGTTTCAATGTCATTTGCTGTCGACGCTATCGACTATGAAGTAAACTCGAGTCCGTACGTACATGGTTATGATTATAATAAGCTTCAATTTGCCAATTTAAATTATTCTCGCTTCCTTTATAACGATTATTGTTGTAAATCTAGGTCAACTAATGCATACTAAAATATGCAGAAAACTAACGTGCGTATGAAAAACACGTGAGTGGAAAACAGCCTTAATCCAGATTTTGACAGAACATTAAAACTCAGTAAAAATGCAATAATATTCTCTACACAGGATTTTGTCTGCAGAAAAGTACAAAATAAGAAATTGTCAACTTACGTCTTGGGTGACTGCATGAAGTAGACCGCTGTAGGAAATATTGCAGTTAAATCTCTACACATCTTCGGTTAAATTTCCTGCAAGGAACCAGTAATAAGACAATATAAGCTTTTGGAGATATTTCAAAAATTTAAAGTGAAATAAAAAGAGAAATATTTCACCTGGAGACGCAGCGAGGAATTTTAAATGACTGCTTTCTACTTCTTCGTCAACAACGTTATACAATGGACCCCAACGATAACCTTGAAAAATATATCATCTTAAAAAAACAATTCTTCTTTTGCTGTATGTGATGTATTGGACTGACTAATAGGAATACCTGACGAGAAGTGTAATTGTTTGTGTGTTATATGAGATCCCATACGTCAGGAGGAGAATGAAATGAGGGTTCGTATTTACGGCAATCATAGCAGTGCGAGATTTTCATCAGGAAAATTTTGACCATAATTTTCGCTCAATCATCTATGAAAAAGCGTACAGTCCGTCTTCGTTGGGGTCGTTTTACACAAACATCTCCATTTCCACTGCCTCTA